ACTAAATATTTCTGACTATAAAAAATTATATTTCTTTAATTTTTACAGCAAACAACCAACAGAGTGGCAAAGAAAAAGTTGTTTTGAGCCTTTTTTTAAGTCCTTCCCATCTAACAAACAGGAAAATAATAATAAAATGTATTTTTTTTTCACTATGAACCGTACAGCAGAGTAGAGGACAGATATAATTTTGGTTACTTTTCTTATTTATGGAGGCAGATTCTCATTATTCCCAAAACACTCAAGACAACTGGATTTATTTTAAAGGTTCTACAAGCAGAAAAATGATAAATTTAMTGATTGTAACCACGTCTGAGAGGAATGCACTGTGCTTGGTTCAAATGTAAGGTTTGGTTTTATTATCATTTATTGTCACTGAAACATTTTAAGTCTGTCTGAACGAGGAGGACCCATCCTGTGTAATCTAAGAACGAGCTCAGCTCACCTTTCCTCACTTTTTAATCTCTGTAAATTTGTTTTACAGACAAAGTGAGCAATAAATCTCTTCTTTTTACAACTATATTTGATATTTCCGGGCTCTGCCTTTCCAAATGAACCTCTGACGTTGGGTTTGACAGGTTCCACGTCAACCTCCTGTGTGGAGACTCGGAGTCCAGCGACGTCGCCCTCCACTTCAACCCTCGCTTCGACGGCCGGGACAAGGTGGTCTTTAACTCCCGCCTGGATGGAGACTGGGGGTCGGAGGAGAAGATCCGCAAGATGCCGTTCTCCAAGGGGAAGAGCTTCGAAATGGCCATCATGGTCAACTCGCTGGGATACCAGGTCACAACACACACACACACACGCACGCACACACACACACACACGCACGCACACACACACAGTGGTCCTTCTGGGTCCTCAGATGGGCTTAGACACCAATCCTTACTTACCATGCTAACCTTACTTTGTCTACAGTTTGTACATCAAAATATCATCATTTTTTCCTCAAATTATTTCAAAATAAAAGTCTTGAATTTCTGTTGGAAGTTGATAAGTGTTTCAGGTTTCAGGCTGATTCGGCTCCTTTTTAACATTTAATTAGAAATCTTCTAGATTTATGAAATCCTCCTCCGTGGTTTTAAACGTTTTAACTGACGTGACGTTGTCGTGTTTCAGATTAAAGTCAACGGGAAGGATTTCTTCACGTTCGCACACCGTGTCCCAGTGAAACGGGTCCGTTCCATTCAGGTCGCAGGAGACGTTTGCATCCAAACCATCAACGTTGTCGGGGTGAGTCCTGAAGTTTGACAAGTCTTAAACTTATTCTCTGGGTTTGGGATTATGTTTAAAAAACAAATTTCAGTTTGAGGAAATACTTTTTGTTGTTGTGATTTTATTGTTTCCTTTTCCTGCTACGGATTTAAAAACATTTTAAAATAATATTTCTGTTCCTAGCTATTTTTGACAATCGTTTTTAAAATGTTAAAAATTTAAATTATGAACAAGTTCTTGCATTTTATTTTGAAAGAAATTTTAAAAACTATTTCAGAAAATGTTTTTCTTCTCATTCAAGATTTCTCAAGCCAAAAAGTTTTAAACAGAATTGTTTGTTAATCTGTTTTTTGTGCTCAGAGTATGTGTCGGGGGTGACCCTCAGCTACTACCAAAGCAAATTTGAGCTCATACTTAGTAAAATTAACAGAGTTTTAGCCTTTTTTGTTTTTAAGTGTAGCTGTCTGTGACAGCCATTTAAGCTTACAGAGCTGGCTCTGATGTTTATGAGAACTGGTAATCTGGCTTCACTGGCACCTTTTAAGTTGTCTGTGTGCAAAGGTTTTAAATTCAAATTAAAACTCTTTTCATGTTTTTATCTGTTGTTTTCAGGGAGGAAGTCCAGGAGGTGACATGGGGGTAAAATAATCTTTAAACTTCTAACTAATCAGGCTTTTTAATGGTAAAATGACATTAAAGTAATATTTCTCAAACAGGGAGGATATCCAGGCTCACATCTGCCGGTGAGCTCAAATCGCGATTGTTTTTTTTTTATTCTTTACGCATTTTTCTTTTAATTTAATGTGAATTTAATCTCGTTCCCGTTCATCTGGTTTCAGGGTATGGGTGGGCAACCGGTCTACGACCCGGTCAGTAAAATGTTTTAAACTTTTCAGATTTGAACCACAACAAAAAAGATGTTTACTGAAGTAAAATGTTTCTGTGTTTTTCAGCCTCTGCCGTACCGCAACATGATCCCAGGAGGGATGAACCCAAAGAGAACCATCATCATCAGAGGCCTGGTTCCTTACGGAGCCAAGAGGTGTGTGTGTGTGCGTGTGTGTGTGCTTGTGTGTGTGTGTGTGTGTGTGTGTCTGCTGTAATCATTGCATCAAACCAGAACTAATCAATCAACTTTATTTATAGAGCACATTTTAAAACCCACATGGGCAACCACAGTGCTGTACGATAAGACGACAATAAGCTAAGACAATGAAAGAAGCGTAACACACACACACACCACAAACTAACACTCCTGTTACAGTATGGGGATCAACTTTGTGGTGAGCAGATCCCAGGACATCGCCTTCCACATTAACCCTCGAGTGAAAGAAGGTGTGGTGGTGAGGAACAACTGCAGTGGAGGGAAGTGGGGCTCAGAGGAGAGAGAGATCAACATGAACCCCTTCCAGGAAGGACAGTACTTTGATGTGAGAATACTTTTACTTTACTTTGTACTTAAATGGTTAATAAATATTATCTGTTCATAATTATGTTCCTCAGTACCTATGATCTTAAGTACATTTATTCACCAGTAGCTGTGCTCTTTAGCGCCTGTGTTCTTTAGTGCCTGTGTTCTTTAGCGCCTGTGTTCTTTAGTACCTGTGTTCTTTAGTGCCTGTGTTCTTTAGTGCCTGTGTTCTTTAGCGCCTGTGTTCTTTAGCGCCTGTGTTCTTTA